ACCGCTTTAGATACTCGCTGGATTATTGGCTCCTGCTACGATACGCATGTCGTATTAATTTTTTTATTATACAAAGATTATCAAGATGTTGATGACATGTTTCCAGGGAAAAAAAATCTAATCATAAATTTAAAATACAATGTATATTAAATAATATTTTTTAAAAATATTTATAAAATAATATGTTATATAATTATTTTAAAAATACATTAAAAAATAATATATTAAATCAATCTTAGTTAACCTATTAGATATGCAATCTTGATAACCCTATAAAAAATTACAAAACTCATACCTCAGTAAATTAAATATCAAGTGATGAAATAAAAATAATAATTAATTATAAAAATAAAAAAATAATTTGAATTAACTTATTAGATAAATAATTTTGATTATAAAATTAAAATAACTTCTTTTAATAACAAACAAAACTTTTATGAAGCTTTATTTGTAACTGATTTAATATTAAAAGTCAAAAAAATCAAGAAAAAAATTAAATTAAAAAGATCAAGACAACTCCACATAAAAAAATTAAAAAAATTATAAAATCTAATTTTCAAATAACATAATATTAAAAAATAAAATGAAATAAAATAACTAAAAAAACAAGAATAAAAATGAGTTACTAAAAGGTGAGATTGAAAAGAAAAATATTTGATTAGAAATATGATTCAAAAAATAAATTGAATTAACCTGAATCAATCTATCAAATATTTGACTCACGTTATAAAATCATAATAACCTTATAAAAAATACATAAATTTAAAAAATTAATTTTCAACTAACTTATTCCTAGAACATGAAATAAAAAAATTAATTTAAAAAATAATTCAAATTAGTCCAAGTATTTAGATCTAGATTGTGAAAATAAAGTAAATTTATAAAAAATAAATTAAAAATAATTATAAAATTATATATTTAATATTGAAAGTTGGCAAAATGTAATAGAAAAAAGTTTAATTTATAAGTAGATAAGTTTGAATAGCTATTATATATATATATATAAAAAAAAAAATCTTAAGTGGCCCATGTTATGAAATATCTTCCATTGCACTCAGGATAACACGATAATTATTTTTTTTTTGTTTAAATTCACACATGACATTAATTTCCACCGCAAACTGGATATACCGGCCCCTCCTGTTAGGATGAGCCTTCAGTCCTCCCTCTTCACATTCAGCTTCACCACTCCCTGCAGCAGCTCTTCTCATGAAACTTCAACTCCAACAATCACACCCGTTTTGAATTCTGTGACCAGGCAGTCCAATCAACCAGACAGCTCAGGAAGATCAGAAGAAAATAATGGGGAGCTATTACGTGCCAGCAGCAGATTTTGCACGTGTGGAAGAAGACATTTTCTTGAAGCAGCATCTACCGCTTTATTTCCTATATGTCCTTCAGTCGCCTCTGATAATTTACAGCCTCGTTACAAGGTATGCTTGCCTATCTTAATTTTATCCAAAAGCATACACTATAGAATGGTGATCACAGGGATATCCTGGATGCCAAGTCACTCTCAGTTATGTTTCATTTGTATTCAATCTTGTAATATCACACTCTGTGAGTCCAATTATATTGTCAAACTGTCTGTAATGTTTGCCAAAAAGAAGCAGAAATTAACCATTGTAAAAATGTTATTGATTGTGTTGGTTTGCCAACACCAAACTAGAGGGCAGAATTGAGATTGCTGTCATTGTTGAGTTTATTGTGTGAGAGTACCGTGGGAGTAATTAGGTAACACAGAAAACATATTGCAGACAGTGTTAAATAGAGTTCACCCTCCAAGACCAGATTGGTACGATGAATTTTATGCATCTGTATTAAATTCTACCGCGGAACCCTATGAAGCAGAGGTTAGTGGTACTCTTGTTAAACAATTTTTCTTGTGAGGATTATGTATTCAGGCCTCCATTTGCTGATATTCTTTTCCCTTTTCCTTTATCATTATTTTTTGGGGGCTAAGGTTGCTGTTTACAAGACACAGCTTTTTACTAATTTGAGAGGAAAGGCCAAGAAAGTGTTGGAGATTGGCATAGGCACTGGTCCTAACCTCAAATATTATGCCAATAGTGCTGATATCCAGGTTTACGGTGTGGATCCTAACACAAAGATGGAAAAATTTGCGCAGGAATCAGCAGTGGCTGCTGGCCTACCACTTTCAAACTTTGAATTTATACAAGCAGTATGCATGTTTCTGCTGTGACACCATCAGTTCTACTAAATTTCTACATATTTGACTCTATTACTACAAAATGATTAGTAGCAGAAAAGGGATAGGAATGATCAGGAATGAATTGTGTGGAAAGTTCAATACCATGGTTTAATATTGTTAGCATTATTAACATCGATAGCCTTCAAGTCATATGTTTATCTGATCATGCTATAAAACTATCCATTTCATCTGTAGCCTTTAATACATGTTTAGGCATCTGTACTGATGAAAACTCCATGATTTTACGTGTGAAGCTGCTGCTTTAAATCATTAGCTTACTCTTTAGTCTCTTACTCTCTTTGCCATTATGGGTGCGGGTCATCAACTGATTTTATCATTTGTTTCCTGAGTTATTACTTGCCTGTTGAGATTAACTTAATATCAAAATTGAAAGTTGTTGCACTGTTCTCCATCGATTTTGAAGGCCTTGATTGTATGCAGGTTGGGGAAGCTATACCATTAAATGATGCTTCTGTTGATGCTGTCGTGGGCACTCTTGTACTCTGCTCCGTTAAAGAAGTTGGCCAGACACTACAAGGTAATTGGATTAAACATGCTTTTGGTTTCTCACAATAAACAGATTTTTCTCACACAATTGAATTTAGTGATTTAAAAAAAAATGTTTTAATGTTTTTTAATTATTTTAATAGGTTAATATCAAAAAAAAAAAAAAAAACCTTGTTGTGGTGATTGAAAAGTGTTCGCTTCATGAAAAGTCGAAATGACCTTAAAGTCCTCTCTGGAGGTCAGAGCTTATAACTTGTTGGGGTCGATCTTATTGCTTGCATGTTTCTGTGCTAGAACTAGTTTGCAACTGCAAATTTCAGTCCAGCCAAATAAGCGAAGAATGGTATTCCCAGCACCAAGTTTTTCTGTGTGTCAAACCGAGTTTTTCTCTGTGTGAGGTACATTATTAAACTGGAACCTTTGAGTGCAGAGGTAAAGAGAGTGCTTAAACCTGGTGGGCTTTACTTATTTGTGGAGCATGTGGCTGCAAAAGGTCTTGTGGGCTAAACTTCCAAGTAAACACTGGTGAGCTTGGTTGATCTCGTTAAATATTTGTTGTTAATGTTGCTGGTTTATGCAGATGGAACAATTCTTAGACTCCTGCAAAGTGCCCTCGATCCATTACAACAGACAGTTGCTGATGGTTGTCACCTATCTAGGGATACAGGAAAGGAAATTCTTAAAGCTGGTTTCTCATCTGTCGATTTAAGCATGGCTTTCCTGTCTAATGCCTTGATTATAAATCCCCATGTGTATGGAATAGCCAGCAAGTAACATTAAGGGGGAGCATCTATTAAAAAAATATATATTAAGAGTGAACACAATAACGAATTTGATGGTCACCAGATATTTAATATTAAAATACAGCATATGTACTGAGGCAATGACGTTTCTAGAACAAGGTTAACCTGCAAATGCATTTGTGGATTGCTTGTGTTTGTCAGCAAGTTTAATTCTTAAGAAGCACATGCATATCCCGTTGTCTACTCTGCTGGAACCCCATTTGTAATTATATTGTTCAACAATTTATTTTCTTGGTGTTGTATCACAGTTGAACCATGCAACAGAAATATTCATCTTCTTACAGCGTAAAGCTAATCTTACTGAATATTCTCTTTAAAAAACTCATGATCCATTTAATAACTGAGTACATCAGTTTATACCTTGATCCAGACATTAAGGTTTCTTGTAGAATTATTTTGGAAAGAAATTTTAAGCAAACTAGCACTGTTCTTTTCCTTTGAGTAATCATTTTAGCTTAATCGATATTGTTATTAAACATTCGTTGGTGGATTTTTATTTTTTTATTTTTTTGAGAAAGTGAAAATTGCTTTCTCGGTTCCCAACCAAGCGGTCCACTTTCTCGCTGTGAGAGGTAGCAGGAGAAAATTACTTCATTTATTAGTTAACCACTGTAATTAGCCAATGATAATAAACAAGTTACCTTTGGGTCGTTGGGGTTTGTTTTATGGTAAATAAACAGTACAGGTGTTTGGGTGTTTGTTTTACGTGAAATAATATACATTGAAGGTGAAGTAATTTCGTTAAATATCAGAGCAGTCTGTAAATAACACGAATTTCTCTCATATTGGATAAGAAACTTATGACATGAATTCCAAAATGGAATGATCTCAGTAGATGATATTTTTGAAATAACTTTCACATATCAGAATCAGATACAAAACGGAATTCCAAGAAATTTTATTGAATAAGCCTCGAAAGCCAATAAGTGAATGGCTCGGGAGAAAGAACCGCAACTAACCATATAGCAAAAACAAAATCCCAGACATGTAAACGAAGCTAGCAGAAAAACAGAGATAAAATTAGAGCCATGCTACCCGATCAAATTCCCGCTGCATGCTTTGTTCA